GTTGTTGTTCGTTGAATTTCGCACAAAGTTACTCGAGGGCTATCTGCGCTAGCCTACCCTAATTTTGCAGTGATAGACAAGAGGAAAGGCAACTAGTCAACACCACCCACCGCCAACCGTAGATAGACTATATTAATCGGCCCCAAAGCGCAGAGTGCGATTTTTTCCGGTGAAAACGGGGTGCGAACCATGGAACCTCAGAGACGCTTGATCGTCTCCGTTCGCCACTTTTACACAGATATTATCTTAATGTTATATAGTTATATATATATAATGTTATATAGCGTTATTACTATGTCTGTGGTAATGTTTTACAACAGCACGAACATAACATTTCTAAAGGCAGAATGAATCCTGACATGTTTGGTGCTATCTTTACGCACTCAGTAATATGAAATTGCACTACAGTGCCTCCTGGTGAGAAGTGTTTTTTTAATTTCGCGCAAAGTTACTCGAGGGCTATCTGCGCTATAGATGGTAAAGTATGCTGTTTAACTTTATATTGACCCTATAGTTTGTAGAGGTTTGTATATTATTTACAAGTTAAAGAGATGACAAATTGAAAACATCAAAAGCATTTATTACATATATTCCTTACCATTTTTTAGAAAAATTATTAATATATTAAAAATAATTGATTAATAGAGGATATCCAAGAATCTTGGAAACACTTTTGAAAAAGTATACGAGAAAACCGTTCAAAATAGACACGCGGTTTGTTACACATTCAGTAATATTATTTCAAGTTTGCTTATAGCAGCGATGAAAAACTCTGTAAACGTTAAACGTCCGAGAAGTGCAGTGAAAAACTGTAAACGTAAGACGTCCGAGAAGTGCAGTGAAAAACTGTAAACGTTAGACGTCCGAGAAGAGCAGAATTTCAGACTAAAGCAAAACAGCAACTATGAAGGAGAAATGTGTATTGTGGTTTGTTATCAATGGTATTTATCTACACGTAAAGACGACTTACAAATTGTTTCATTAACATGATACTATATGAAGCGCCCTACAAAAGACAAAATATTCCCCAGACGGTTTATTTGGCGGGGAGGCCCACTAGCTGATCCCCACCTTCTCCGGACATTACGCCTATGACTTTTTTCAAAAAGTCCTCACAAATGTTACTCCTACAATGTTGAAAACCACTTGGCAGGAGATTGGGTACAGACTGGACATTTTGTGCGTAGTGTGCATGTTCAACTATGGCGACTGTACGCTGTAAAAAACTTTAAACATTATTCAACGAACCGTGTGTCTCTATGTTAAATGGTTTTCTCGGTGTGATTTTTTAAAAGTGTTTCCAAAATTCTTGGATACTCTACAGTCTAGTGGCCAAAAAGACAAAACATAAACACATGGCAAAGATGTTTGGGAACCCAATACAGAATACTGCAAACAAAAAGGGTGCACTTAAAACAGCGTTGATCTTCTGTTGAAGCTGAAAGTGTAAAAATGTTTATAGGTTTTATTGTAAACATGATCCCATCTGATATATATATATATATGTGTGTGTCTTAATACGGAAGTTATAAAAAAATCTTACATGGACATAAACCATGGGTCTATATTTTGGTTAATATTCTTATAATATACAGCTTTACGAGCAAATCTGGGCCCGGCATGGCCAGGTGGTTATAGCGCTCGACTCGTAATCTCGTGGAATCCCCGTCACACCAAACACGCTCGCCCTTTCAGCCGTGGGGACGTTATAACGTTGCGGTCAATCCCACTATTCGTTGGTAAAAGAGTAGCCCAAGGGTTGGCGGTGGGTGGTGATAACTAGCTGCTTTCCCTCTAGTCTTACACTGCTAAATTAGGGACGGCTAGCGCAGATAGCCCTCGTGTAGATTTGCGCGAAATTCAAAAACAAACAAACGAGCAAGTCTGAGTTAACACTTCTATATAACATCTTCATACGCCTAAAATGCGTTAACATCGAGCACTCTAATTGAAGACATCTTACAATATACAGCTTCAAAAGCAAATCTGAGTTAATATTTCTACGTACTAACCTCATATAACCAGAATGAGTTAACACCGAGCATTCTAAATTAAGACATTTTTACAATAAACAACTTTATAAGCAAGTGTGAGTTAACAATTCTATATAACAACCTCATACAACCAGAATGTGTTGACACCAAGCCCAATAACTGACGACATTCACACAGTATATAACTTCACAAGCAAGTCTAAGTTAACACTTCCTTATAACACCTTCACACAAGCAGAATGCGTTAACAAACTAAAATCTGTGACTTTCACATGATAAATTTATAAAGATATTGTGCGTTAAGTGAAAATATTATTACACTGTAACAAAGAATCACCTCTAACCTATGAGTGTTAAGAGTTTAAAAAATTAGAACTTGTCAACTATTATTAACAACGACATGCAATCAGTATGCATTAATTATAAATATATTATAGGTGCTATCTTTATACAGGCACAGATAGTATATGCTTACTAAGTGTTAACTAGTTCCTAGCTGTGTTAGCTGATGATTTTGAGGAAGTCGAATAGACTTATAACGCTTGAAACCGGGTTTCGATACCCGTGGTGGGCAGAGCCCAGATAGCCCTTTGTGTAGCTTTGTGCTTAACTACGAACAAACATGTATTGTAACCAATGTTACGTTACCAAAAGCTTCCATGTATATTGGCAAATCTAAGCAAACAACATGGATGGTTCTAACAAGAATACAGATAAACTTTGTGTTTATTTGTTTTATTAATAAGTATGTTTCTATCTTACGACTTGATCAAAGTAATAGATAAATTAATTATTCTTGCTTAACAACACGGAACTGAAAGTTTTATGTAATTCTGTCTGTCTACATATTCCTCCTTTAGCTACACTTCAGTCGAGGAAAGCCAATGATTATGTAGAAAATAAACCTTTAAATACGTCTTGTTTTAGTGATATCCTTTTTTGTATACTGGTTCTGTATCGCAATTGCTAAAATTATAAAGAAAAATACATTATACATTACAATTTTAGTACATTTTTTCCAGAAAAATATACATTACCTTCACATACACTTTTCCTGAAAGTATAACCGTACTATTTTATATTCAAACCACTTTATTGTGTTAATAATTCTAGTGTATCTACCTAAGTGCCCTTCTTGTGAGGTGCTTCGTCTGTGTGTTTGTATATCTCCTTTTTTATAATCATCTTGCCCAGCACTGTATGGTAATTATGTTTTTCTTGGTGATACATAATGGTTTCATGTAGGTTTTTCCAACATTATACGGTAATTTAATTGGTTTTTTTCGTAGTATATATTGATTTCATGTAGGTTTTTCCAACATTATACGGTAATTTAGTTAGCTTTTTTCGTATTATATATTGATTTCATTTAGATTTTTCTAACATAGTACGATAATTTTCTTTATGTAATGATTTCAAGAAAATTTCTCCAAAACTTTACGGTAACGTTTTTTTTTCATGTAATGATTTCTCCAACACTGTATGCTATTCTTTTCGTTTAATGATTTCATGTAGAATTATCCAACACTGTACGGTAATTTCGTTAGTTTGATTTTTCTCTCTTTTTCTTTTCTGGTAGACTTATCGAGAACTTCGGCCTGCGGTTTCAACATTACAAGGTAACCTCTTTCCTGGGCTGGACGATGGCTTGATGGGCCGAGCAGAGGCTCTCGCCGCCGTAGATATCGCCAAGTCCGGTCCAACAACTAGTGCTGGAATTCCCTTAAAACACGATATGATGTACGCTCATCACGCAGGAATGGGCGGAGGCCATGCTGGTCCCACTGGCCGAATCCACCATTCTCAGATGGGTCATCCAGGAATGGACACGATGGAGTTACTGGAGCCACTTTGTCCTAGTTCCCTACCGCCTCTGACCTTAGCCGCTGAAACTAGTGCCGTTAACTCTCACCCACATCCGCAGTTACATGGCCCAATTTATACGCACAGTATGAACGGCATGATGGGTGGCCACCCAGCATTAGCGCCACATCATGCCATGGCCATGCACGACACAGATACGGATCCCCGTGAGTTGGAGGCTTTTGCTGAACGTTTCAAACAACGACGGATCAAACTCGGAGTGACCCAAGCCGACGTGGGCAAGGCTCTAGCTAACTTGAAGCTACCTGGTGTCGGTTGCTTATCCCAGAGTACTATTTGCAGATTTGAATCTCTCACATTATCCCACAATAATATGGTTGCCCTCAAGCCCATTCTTCAGGCTTGGTTGGAGGCGGCTGAAGCTCAGGCGCGCAGTAAGCGCCGCGATCCAGAATCCTCAAGCGTCCTTCCGAACGGTGAAAAGAAGCGAAAAAGGACATCCATTGCTGCTCCTGAAAAGAGGTCACTGGAAGCCTACTTCGCCGTGCAGCCTCGACCGTCTGGCGAGAAGATTGCTGCTATCGCTGAGAAGTTGGACCTGAAGAAGAATGTAGTTCGCGTATGGTTCTGTAACCAAAGGCAAAAGCAGAAGCGAATGAAATACTCGGCTGGTCAACATTAAGTTCTAAATATCTTGTTATTTTGTGTACAGAAACTGTTAGTGCTTGAAAGTATGAGATATCGGCAGCATACTGGTACGAGATACATCGTTCGTAGCACCAGGAACGATGAATACGAAGAACTACAGTGACGTTGATCACAACAAACTTGCTATGTTTGTTACAACACCCCGTGGTAGATTAACAGACGAGAGTGGCCGTGTTGGTGGAAAGTTAGTAGTAATATTCTAGATTCAAGTGAGAAATTTGTATTCCCTTTTTGTTTTCTGAGGCCCAGACCATAGTTACCAGGACCCTTATGATCGGGTATGTCCACTTTCAAGTGATACCATAATCTTTCACAAGTGCACATTATTGACTGATAATTTGTCTGAAGCGCCTATATTCTTCCACCGTCAGAACAATCATTGATCATGCTACTATCCATTCATTTAGTATTAATGACGACGGGCGTACTAGATAAATATTTGATATCCGCAATTGTGTAAAGAGAAGTGTATCCAGTGTTTGACCTGACACAGGTAGGTCATCCTTTTCATATGATGGCAGATGTAAGGAATCACGGCAGGATACAAACAGCTCTGCTGGAGCTATATATATATATATATTAAGTACAAAATACGTGAGAGTGAAGAGAAAGAAACTAATGTATAGATTAATTCTTGTAATATCTAAGTTCATGATTCGATACCAAAGTATACCACTTGGCATCAATAGATTACTTCTCTTAAAGCTTTAATATTATAGCAATGATTTATAACATTGCGCCCTTTTTCTAAGTTATCTTTTGAAATTTTATATATCTTCCACGAGTGTTTAATTAAAGTCAAAACTGCCTGAAACCTAAATTGTCTTGAGGAAACTTTAAAACGTATTATGTTCCTTGATTAATTATTAAATTTTGTTGTTCTAGTGATTGCTTCTAAACATTTTCTTTAAAGGTGTATATTTAAGCGTATTTAAACAATGATTAATATTAAAACCAAATTATAACAGTAAGTTGCATAAATAAAATTAATAATTATAATGATTTCGCAAAAGTTATGTGTTGAAGATTCAATACGACGAAAAGCCTAAAAGAGCACTCGTTACTGGTCCAATAAAATGGTGTACGAAACTCGACAAGTAGGATATGTTACATCAATGTATCAAGCACAGCACGATGAAATAACATGTATTAAACAAGAATATGCGAAACGTATTACAACAATAAGATGTACCAAATACAACATATTGGAGGTATCAAAATAATAGAAGACATTTCATACTATTACAATGACAAAAAGAACTGGGGAATGCGCTACTGTAGTAATATTTATGAAGTACGACGAATGGGGTGTGTTGCAATAATAAGGTATACCAAAAAACGACACTTGTGAAGTGTTACAATAACGATAAACAACAAAAGGAATATGTTACAGTAACAAGTTGTATCAAATACAGTACGTGGGGAGTGTTAGAATGATTGATGGATCTATTGCGAAAATAAAATGACCAAAAACAGCATAAAGTATATGTGACAATATTAAGATTTAACGCAAGGCTTAACACACGTAAGTTTTGAACTCTTATAATATTTCAGAACTTCGTTTGTGCTTGAAGGTCAAACAACAATAGTAAGTATAGAAACTTGCATTGTTTGATAGGTTCTAAGCTAGTATAAGAGGTAAAGTATAAAGTTTTCATTACGTCTTAGTGAAATACTATATCGTTGCTACGAAAACTACAATACTGACATCAAACTTTAATGATTATTATCATAAAACATACGTCAAGTTTTTTCCGTCAGAGATCATAGGATTCGAAAGATATCATCTAGAGCAGTATATCACAATATAGGGCCTATTCTTAAAACTTTCACAGGATTATGTTGGGGAACGCGAGCGTATAAATGGCGATTACTTAGAAAACACGGGTACAGTATTGGACAAATAGCTCATCTACACTAATTATAAAACCTTTTAAGTATCTGTAGTTTAAGATATAGAAATCAAAGTACAATTATTCAAGAAAAACTTTCTAAAATTTAAACTTAAGTGAGTCTGTACAGATATCAAAGTGTAATATTTTCTATAAAAAAAACCTTCTATTCGTCCTAAATTTAGCCCTAAACTGAAATAATCAACGTCCACAAACTTAACATAGTAAGCAACTTTGTGAAGGTTCTCATGTTCCTTAATTATTCAAAAATAGATAAACTTGAAAATTATTTTTTATTTATGTTGTTCACATTCATCTTACGATGTTTCCTTTTTCTTAACTTTCTGTAACTTGAATAAACCAAACGTATTTGTGAGTTTACTGTATATTGAGAGTAGTATTATAGGCTACAGCTGAATGATTAAACGTCTTTAATTAATGTTTAGTTTTCTGTTGACATTTCTTATCTTTTTTTTAATATTATCAAATACATCACTTTGGCCTAATGATGTGAAAATACTTTAAAATTTATTGATGTTACGGAAACGCTACAACTTTCTATCGAAAGGCTGTTTTTGATTACTAAACTATTTTGCTTTTGTTTCGTGACATTAAAATATGCTTCTTTTTTATGTATTTTGAAAGTACTTTATCCTTGGTTACGCTATTAAAACGTTTACCTCTGTTAATATGATAAAATATGTTTTGTATTTGTTGTATGCCATTCTTCAAACAAAAGAGTTTAATGTTTGTAAATAAACAGCATTCATTTTATAACAGCTGCTTGTATTCTTTCTCTATTGCATATGATATGTACTCGTTTTTCTAATTTAACTCTAAACCTTTAAAAACTGCTTTTGAACATTTCTCATTCTCTCTACCTCGAATTATTCCTTTTTTTCTACTTTTACATCCAGATTGATTCTTAAAAACATCTGTGTAAAACCTGTTTATTGTGTCACGTGGTTTTATGTTAAGGGTAATATAATAACTAGTGATACATAACTCATGTGTGTACAATGTTTGTGAACTTGGGAAGTACACTGTTCTTTTGCTCAAATCTTTCAAATCAATATTATTCAAAATATTGTATAAATGCTTGATTTTGTACACAGCGTAAGAATAAATAAAAATAAAAATTCTTTATGTAGTTTGTTTGCAGTCAGAATCCTGAGAAAAAGTTCTATGTGTCTGATGAAAAACAAACAATAATTGATATGCTAATTTGTTTTAAATGTTGATATTGGAAAGGTCAGATCACTATGATGGCGTTCTTCATCAAACTGCAATTCTATTATGATAGATGTTTAAGTATACTTATTAAAATTAACTGTAATTTATACACTTATATTACAATTTAATTTTGTATTCTTAAACAAAACACGATTCTCTTCATTGACATTGGACCTCATGTTGTTCTCCTAACCTAACTTCTTTTCTGTCCAGTCGAAACTAGTTGTTTAACCAAATATAACTGTTCTGCACTTCAACATTAAGAAGAGAATAATTATGTTATGAACGATAACTGTGCAGTTAGATTAAAACTCAGTGTTATAATATTAATAACTGTGTTGTGTTCACTCAAACAGAACTGTCTTCTCACTCATTTACTTGCTGTCTTATGTTTCCGGATACTTATTAGTCACATAATATTGAATGTTCCGAGATTACAGTAACAATAAGATGAAATATATCAAAAACATTCAAGAAAAAAATATTAAATTATCTTCTAAATATGGTCTTATCGTATTATGACGAACCTATGAAGTAAAAACTGGCTACCCATCTCACTCATGGTGTATCAACTTGTATAGCTGCTGCTATAACAAGTCACTTCTGTAAACCTGAAATTCTTTTGATGTGAAAATTGAGCTTGAGCGGAATTTCAACCTTTGAATCTGTGAACCGGGCAGATAAGTATATCCACCTTAGCTACCGTGTGGTAAATAGCACACATTTAATTTTACACCCCATTAATTATTGAGAATGGCAGTTGGCACTGACAGGACTTTTGAGCTATGCAAGATGATTTGTAAAATTCAGAATCCGTTAATTCGAATTGTTTCAGAAGTGCTTCTTGATCTTCACTATAGACATTTTAGGGAGTACAAAAAGTCATGTGAGCATAGAATTTTTTCTGACTAAACGAAAACTTAAATATGAAATTGGTTAAGCATACTCTTTGTAAATACACATTCTATGTAGCAGCTTGCCTTACGCTGGAATATTCATTGTACCAAGTATCAGTGGAATCTGACACTAAAATACGAAGTTCTTTATCCTTAGCAAATAAAAATGTCAAAATATAAGGTGAATTATTCCTTATGAACAAAATGTTTTGTTGGTTACTCTTAGAAAATTCAGGGAAAAATGAAATATGCAAATAAATTGCTGACAAAGAATCATATAAATAATTTAAACAAAATAAATCTAAATCAGTAACTGTATATTTACTTTCGTAACATTATAAATAAAGTAAGTCTAATGCCGCCCCTTTTGACTCAGCGGTTCAATTCGAGGATAGACAGCTCATTGGGTAGCTTTGGGCTTATAAAGAAAACAAATAAATGTAATATGTCTTGCCCAATTTTGAAAGAAATCTCTGTTGTTCCCAAGTACTATTTTACAAACGAACAGCGTAAACGCCTTTTTAAAAGTACGTATTAGAAATCTGAGCAAATAATGACGAATTAAATTTATATGGTTTGTTTTTGTTTGTTTGAAGTTAAGCTCAAAGCTACACATTGGGCTATCTGTGATCTGCCCACAACGGATATCGAAACCCGGTTTCTAGCATTGTTAGTTCGCAGACATACCGCTGTGCTACTGGGGGGGGGAGCTTTTATTTGGTATAGGAGGATACAAATATTATAAATTACGGATTATAATAAATTTGGAAGTATAATAGTGTTTATAAGTAATGAAATAAATATACAGGAAATAGTTACAGGTTCAATATTGTAGTAATTTATGTCACATAATATATATAGTGTAGATACTTATATTACATACGTTAAACAAATTTTGATTGGAAATGAAATGGAAAATGAGTATAGGTATAAAATCTGAAGATAATATTGTA